CACTCACTCACACACACACACACACTCTCACACACTCTCACACACACACTCTCTCACACTCTGTCACACACACACACACTCACACGTCCTTGTTCGTCTGTACTGTTTCTTTTGACTCTTGAATTACATAATGTAAGATTGAAGATATTGGCATACACAGAAGTCTTAAAGTTTAAGATTATTATTTCATTATGCATAGCCACTGAATGGAAATGTCTGAATAAAACTCTTGTTCTTTTGACAAATATTTTGCCTGTCTGGATCTGCTAGAATAAAGGGAGATATTCCAGAGATTCTTCTTCACTTCAGCTATTTTGACTTTGTTGTCACACATAAGAAACACAAATGCGTTTACAGGACGATGATGTAGAATTATGGTTCAAAGATGGTTTGGATTTAATGTCAAACCTTCAAAACATCAAATGGCTCTAAAGGCCAGCGCTGTGCTGCATGTCTCGTCAGAGAGAGGACAAAACACGGATATAAAAAGGCAATATTTGTGCCGTTTCTGTTTTACTCGACAGTTTTGAAGCGCTGCGTGTTCTGAGATATGCTCCTGATTCACCACAGAATAAAGTACATCTGTTCAGAAAGAATCTGAATGACCTACATATGTACTGAAATCATATATGTCATGTTTAATGAAGTAAATCTGCCATCTGCTGTGCTCCAGCATCATCTGAATCTCCTGAAGGATCATCCTGCATGACACACGGTCAAAATACAGCCTTTGCTGGGTTACATGGTCTTAGACTGTGTACAGTATTTATTCATCATCAATATTTCAGCATGTCTACACAAACACAAAGCAGAGCTGATTTTGTCCTGCTTCTGCTCTCATAAGCATTTCGACATGCTTCTGTCTTCACACACACACACACGTGCTCAAATGAGCTTTAGTTTCAGTTAATCTGACCTGATGAAAGTTTCATCAGACGCAGATCTACACAAAAGAGCTGTCAGTCCCGCGAGGCCACGCCCACCGAGCGGCCGAATGGGCGGAGTCTCGCGTCTTCAAGATCATCCTGGAGTTGAATGAAATTTCTGTTCGTGACAGAAGCTGTTCCCGCGCGGATGATGCCGACACGAGGAAACAGATAATCAGACGAGCATCATCATCTTCATCATCTCCGATCGATCATCCTCAGGATGTCGGACTCCGAGATGTCAGAGTTCGCGAGTATCGTGGAGCGCATCGAGAGAGGCGAGGTGAGGTCACAGCCAGCATGAGACGGAACGATGAATCGTTACATATGATAATACTAATTATTATTGTGCTATTATGTTGGTGCTTTATAATCGCTCATTCATCCGCCTCTGATGTGCTGTTGTCAAGATCCTGTTCATGTGACGTCACTGCTCCACCTTGCCTTTTTTCCATCATTTATAATAATGTTGTCAGTGAACATAAGAGGTTATTTGTCGGGCGTGCTGTGAAGAATGTAGCGTCGGCTTGGATACAAATAATGATTCGTATCAAGTATAATGTGGCGTTCTGTCGCGGGCCCCGCCCCTTATTTAAATACCCGATAGTTTCGCTGCAGGGTTGCTATAGTGACGGCCGATGGCTCCGCCCACATTCGGCTTGTTCGCGCGTTATCGGCGCGTCACGTTGTTCGATTCGTCCTCGATCTGCGAGAGTCTCTCATTTGCGAAGTTGGATCCGGATCGCGGAGCTTGTCCTTCATTCTGCTCGCGATGTCCAGGCGAAGCTCGCTGCTAGTAAGTCCGTGAATCCGGTTCTCCTGAATTAAACCACTGTTGTTTGCTGACGGAAAGTTGAACCGGTTGTTTTGAGTTTATTTAATATATACATATTTTTAAATGCTTTTTAAATAAAACAAGCCTTGTAGACGTTCGTCTTTGTGACAGAGTTTAACAGCTGGTGAGTCGTACTTCTTACGCTTGAAACAGAAAGGCGAAAGTGAACAATGGAAGTAGTTCCCCAAACACGCGTCGTCTGAGCGCCGCGAGGACGCTGAAGCCCGAGTTTGTGTTCCGCAGGTGCCGATGAAGAGCATCGAGCGGGAGCTGATCTGCCCCATCTGTGCCGAGCTCTTCACACAGCCGCTCATCCTGCCCTGCCAGCACAGCGTCTGCCACAGATGCGTCAAAGAGCTGCTCATGCCCAACCACGACGACTCGTTCAGCACAGACGCCGGATCCGAGAGCTCGAACCCGGGCAGCCCTCGCGCCAGAGGCCCGTCCCCCAGCACGGAGAAGCTGGAGCGCCTGGTGCGATCAGGTAACCCTCGAGCCTGGATCCACCTCACAAACACAAACAGTTCTCACTACATAATGCAAGATTTGAGGCTCCTTCGATCCGAAAGGCGCGTGATAAATACACTTTATTGATGTTCATTTGCAATGAATGGAAGAGGTGTGAGTTTGCATCTGAATCTAAATTAAACAGCAGAATTTCAGTATTTTTGTCTTGTTGAACAACCTTAAATCAATATATATTTACAGAATTTAAGTGATAAATTGAACAAGTGAGCTTATGCTTAAAACAAGAACAAATATCTGTCAGCGGGGAATGAAAACTTTGTTCTTGTTTTTAATCAAACTCACTTCATTTTGATCAATTTCTCATAAAACAAGACTTCATATCTTAAGTCATTATGCTTTGCTTTTCAAGTAAATGTAAATTGATTTAAGAATCTTTAGACATTTGCACTGCAAAACGGAACAAAACTAAATAGAATTTGGGTGAGAATAAAAAAAGCTGATTAAATGACATAAGCTTATGTTTTATGGTTTAAAAAACGTCTAGTTTATTACTTGCTCAATCAGTTTTGGTCTGCTGTGTTTGTGTCTTTCCTTTTACACTGTTGGCTTTCATTGCAGTTTTTCCCCAAGAAATGTGATGCTGTTTTCATGTTCGTACAATCATTGGTTGTGAATCAGGTTTCACTCCACTTCTGTTCACGTTTAACCATTGTTAGTCTTGTTTCACTTTTCTCTCTGTTGCCTGCAGCCTCGCTGAGGAGGTCGTTTGGAGGGAGAGGTAGATGTGGTTTACGTAATTTAATTAGCTGTAGTGAGTACTGTGTCTCTAGAACGCTCTCTTCTCGTGCACAATGCTTTTCGTAAGTGACGGAGGAACGGATCACGAGTAGATGCAGCTGCCGCTTAAAGGGGTAGTCGTGAAAAAATGAACATTTTCTGCTAATTTACTCATCCTCAGATTATCCAAGATGTAGTGGCTTTTATTTCTTCAGTAGAGCAGGAAAGAAGATCTTTATCTGAAACTGTGCTCATTGGTGATTCATAAAATGCAAGTCGACGGCTACCAGCACTTTGAGAGTCAGAAACGCATATAACAGACAACACAGAATGAATCCCTGTGGCTCCTGACGATATATTGAGCTCTTATGAAGCGAAACGATTAGTCTGTGCAATAAACATTATTTACAGCATTATTACCTGTAATCCAGAGCCTCAGGCAAACGGTCCGGTTCACGAACGAATCAACCAATGTTATGAGACTTAAACGTAAACTTTTGTCTCTCGCGATAAGTCATGGCAACGGATTTTGGCTATATTTACTCAAAGGAGGCTTATGCGTATATCTTTACAGAAGCAGCAAAGAGAGCCGCTTCAGAAACGTGCGTGGCGCGGCTGGAATAAACCATAGCCTGTATAAAAACATAAACACAAGCATTGAGTGGCCGTAATCAGCTTCAGTGACCGTATCAGAGCCACACTGCGCCGCAGACGTGTGCAGTGTAAATTGTCTTTAGCATTAATAGCAGGGAAAGCCCCTTATACTGGAGTGTGGCCACTTATGAAGTGTTTCTTGGAGGTTATAGTACATTGAAGAATGATCATATGACTTTTTACATACGCCATGTGACCTGTAAATGCGAAAAAGCCGTTTCCATTGCAGTTTTGCGAAATTATTCCTTTTTCGCATTGCCTGAAAAACCACCTCATGCGAGCGTAAAAACTTTTTTGCGATATATGGGCGTTTTTGCGAAATTGACGCGTTTCCATTAGGCGTATTTTCAATTCGCAATTTCAATTTGCGCAATTTGAAGGGTAATGGAAACGCGCCTAGTGACTGGAAATAATCGCCGAAACACCGGCGAATCTGATCCTGTGATGAACGAACTGATTCCTCCAACAGTCACTGAACTGAGGAAACAGTTCGACTCGGACCGAACACCGATGAGCCGCTGATCTGCGCATGCGTGAACTGAACACTGTTTATGTAAAAAGGTGAGCTGATGAAGACTAGTTTATATGCTTTAGACATGAAAACATCTGCACTTCACATCATTATTGGGTGATTTAATCATATAATTGCGTATACGTGACGTCACTGCGTGATTACATAAACTAGTGAATCATTTATTTTAACTGGTTCATTGAAACAAACTGTCTTAAAATAATTAATGTTCAGTTTCTTGCACAGACTGATCGTTTCGCTTCACAAGACCTCAATATATCATCAGGAGCCGCGGGGATTCATTCTGTGTTGCCTAATGTGCTTTTTTGACTCTCAAAGTGAAGGTAGCCGTTGACTTCACCAATGAGCACGGTTTCAGCTAAAAATCTTCTTTACTGTTCTACTGAGGAAATAAAAGCCACCTACAGCTTGGATGGTCTGAGGAAGAGTAAATTAGCAGGAAAACTTTCATTTTTGGGTGAACTTTCCCTTTGAAACTCTCGTGAGCGTCCGCTGAGCTGACAGACGCCCGGATCAGATCTAGCAGTGCGTCTGCGACTCCTGCACAGAACCGTGAGAACGCGTGTTTAATGTTGCTGTGGAGGAACACAGGAATCCCAGAGCGTCCGTGAGGGAAGAACATCTCATGCAGAGAGAATATTCAGACATTTTTCTTCTAGACAACAGCAACTAACTAAATGGCAGTGAACTAGCAGTATGTTGTATAAAGAACTTCTCGTCACATAATAATCTTCCGTCTCTTGTGCTGATGGGCCTGTTTCTGGTCTGAGCGGTTATTTTCCCCTCTCATTGCGGCAGCATCAGCTCCCAGCATGCCTCGCGGCGCAGCACACTCACGGCTTAAGTACACGCTTTATTTCAGTCATGCTCGCTCCCATGTGCCGATCTGAACCCGGCGCTCGCTCAGATCTCGGTCCACGTTCATCATCATGCTGTAGCGCGTCCGCATGCGTCGCCTCCTTCCATCTGTGCTGCACGTGTGTCCTGCTGCATCCGACGGTGTGATGCTGTCTGTCCTTTGGTTTGTTTGCATTTCACTTTGCTGTTCTTTGTCATCAGTGCTTGCTGGAGAAGTGATTTCTTTCACCCTGAAATTATTTTCCCGTAAAAGCCCATGACACTGACCTGGACGATCTGGAGGTTCATCTCACTTTAAAGCTGCTGTGTGATCATCTGTCCGTCGCTGGCAGTAGAGATGCTTAGAAACTGAACAAAGGCTGAAATTCTTGGCACTGAATGTAACTGTGATTAATGATGGATGTGTTGACCGTAAAGAGGTCACGCTTACAGTAGAAACTCTAGGTTAGGGTTGGGTTACGCTTGTTTAGCTCAGCGTCTCATGCTACTGTTTACACAATCAAAGACGTTCCTGCCACTGTTCCTTTAGAAGAGGAAAAATAAGCATTTTGTATTCTTAATGTAAGCGGTATTCTAAAGTATGATATGTTGTTGGAGTGTAGATCGCATGGTGGTATCACAACCTGAGGGAAGAACAAGTGCAATCAAAATAATCAGGTTCAGTTTTCAGCCCAGTATGTCCAGAATTTCCGGTTTTGGTTCTAGAAAAAAGAATCTTAATTTCGGTGCATCACTAACTGATTCTTGAGGAGTGAAACACGGACGCTTCACAACACTGAACACTTCGCAGCCAGACGTGTCATCTTCTGACTCCACCAATGACGTGGCCATCTGTTAGGCTGAGTGAGCAATGGAAGACGGAGTGTTTGTGGAAACCTGTCAGGAAATCATCTGTGAATGATCAGTTCTGTTTGGGGGAGAAGAAACGACGCACCGCAGCTTTAAAAAGAGTGACCTCGATCTCATTCAGCACTGTGGAATAGATTACAGACAGGCCTGTCATTCAGTTTTTTGCTGAAAATTAGTTTTTAATTGCCATGTTTTCATCTTTTGTTTCTCGTGTCCAGATCACTGTCTGCTGTTGTGCTGTGTTCAGTTTGAGTCACTCCACGTGTGTCTGACCTTTTTTGATCATTAGTGCTTCATTGTGTGTGTGTGAGAGCGTGTGTGTGTGAGAGCGTGTGTGTGTGAGAAGGAGGCCACCAAGAGCTGCATGGACTGCAAGGCCAGCTTCTGCAACGAGTGCTTCAAGATGAACCACCCCTGGGGAACGCCCAAAGCCCAGCACGAGTACGTGGGACCCACCACCAACTTCAGACCGAAGGTCCGTATCAACCGAGCCACCGCTGCGCTATATCAGCTGCTGTCCTTGATCTAACCCTTCAAACCCTGGGTTCCAGGTGCTCATGTGTCCCGAGCACGAGATGGAGAAGGTCAACATGTACTGTGAGGTGTGCCGGCGTCCCGTGTGTCATCTGTGCAAGCTCGGCGGATCTCACGCTAATCACAGAGTCACTTCCATGAGCAGCGCCTACAAGATCCTGAAGGTGCGTCCAGTGTAATAACATTCATCTGTCCATGTTCAGAAGAGCTCTTAAAGAGCTCACAACTGAGCTTTTATTTTATAATGTTTCCTGAGGTGAACTATGGAAGCTTGTTTCTGCCACAGAATAAAAAAATGTAAAGATAATTGCAACTTTTTTTTATCTGACTATTCTGCCTTTTTTTCTCAGAATAGCAAGTTTACATCTCAAAAAAAAAATTCTTGCAATTGCGAGTTCATATCACGCAATTCTGACTTTTATCAGGGTTTATATTGAGTTTGTATCTCACAATTCTGACTTTCTAACTCGCAATTGTGAGTTCTTTTCTCAGAGTTTATATTTGAGAGTTTATATCTTACAATCGTGAGGAAAAAGTCACAATTACTATTTTCATAATTTTCTATTCAGTTGCAGAAACAGGCTTCCATAGTGAACTTATAATGTTAGTAGGAGTCATAATTTAGAAATAAATGGCCATTTTCTACCCTGATTTTATCCCTGTAATATGAACCGTTTAAATGGGCGTGTCTCTTTAAGACTTCAGTGTAAACCTCCACTGATGTGATTGGTCAGCGTCTCTGCATATGAAATGAGTATTACACAGGGCTGCACAAATCTAATTTCTAATCGCGATTACAATTACGATTTAATCGTTCCACTTATGCTATTCTGAGTGCTTAACATATGTTTTTTCTTTCTACAGGTTATCTTAAGCGTTTTTCCATTGATTTAGTTTTAGTATAACATTATAACACCATGCATATTTTTAGAAGAAGAAACCAAACCAATGTGTAGTTGATATTTGAGGCTTAATACTATAGAGAAGCAGTAAAAGTTTTCCAGTTTGAATGTTTTCAGCTCGTTTATATTCATATAAAGCTATAGAATGCAGTTGCTTCAAACAATGGTATAAACATCATTGAATATAAATTGATAATCATAATAAATAATCACATTTACAGTTTCAAGGGAATAATCAACAATTATGATTTTTGACCTCTTGTAGGTCTACAAGATCAAGTCAGTTTTCTCAATTCGTGACCCTTTTAAAGTATTCATGGCTGAAAACAAGCGCTATTGTGTTTCTGGTGGATAGATTTGTCCGAGGAGGGACCGAGCTCAATCGCTCCGGCTCTGTCAGCATCTGCTGAGTCAGAAATATTAGACGACTGCAAACAAGAGCCGTCACTCATCCATTTTTAATGCAATATTTCTATCTTAAGATGTTCTGTCCAGGTCCCGGGGTTGTAGATGCTCTCAAAAGCTGTATTAGGCGTCTCTCGCTGTCCGGAAATCATGTGGGAGGTCGATTTTTCCACCGTGTTCTAATGGGCTTAACTCTTCTGTCAACAGGACAAGCTATCGAAGAGTATCCATTACCTAATTAGCAAAGAGGACCAAGTGAGGACTCAGATTTCTGAGCTGGAGGTGATGATGCGTCACACAGAGGTAACGGCGAGCTCATTTCCTGCTTGATCCTGATTGGCCAGAACAGTCGGAACAGATGTGACTGAAGCTCCCTCATTGGAGCGTTCATTCAGAGAAGTGTTTTATGCTGCTGTTGATGTCATATTTATGTTCTGTTTATGTCCACGAGCTCTTAGCGTGGATTAAATGCGTTTTTAATGTTGGCGTGTTGAATGGTTTGGTGTGGGAAGTTCTTTTTGCTGTTACCCGCTTAAAGGCTAGCTCGCGACAAACGGCAGCATCCAACAGCTGTCGGGTTTCTCTGAACTCTGTTCATTCTCAACACCAGTGTCGGGGAAAGTTACTTTTAAAAGTAATGTTACAGTATTGCGTTACTCCATAAAAAAGTAACTACTTGTGTTACTTGGTTACTTTTTATGGAAAGTAATGCATTACGTTACTTTAGCGTTACTTTTTCTCATCTGATCTGGGCTTGTTTAATCATTTTTAATAACAAAAAACCCAAATTTAATCTTTTTGGCAGCTGTAAAGGCCCTTTCACACCAAAAGTAGTGATGATGATCCTCAGGCTGAAGGAAACGCCTCTGATTTCTCTCAACATGTGGACAGCAGAGCTGTCAGTGAAATCAAGTAACTTATTTGAAAAAGTAACTCAGAAATTTTCTTGTAAATTTAAAAGTAATGTGTTACTTGAAATAAGTAATCTGAGTAATCTGACTCGTGTTACTTGTGATGCGTTCCCCCCCAACACTGCTTACCAGCATTCATTCTGAGGTAGTGTTAATTTCATTAACGAAATCTGACCAAAAATGTTCATCAACTAAGGTTTTTCTCTTGACGAAAACGAGACAATAATAAGGTCATTAAACGATAACTGAGACTATATCAACATGCAATAAAAAGACGAGACTAAAATGTAGTTAAAAGCGCGAAAACTTAACCAAAACCTTTTTATTTTTGTTTAAAAAAGTGGAGCTGAGACATTTCAGACTGCTGTGCAAGACTCTATTACGCGAGCGTTCATGTTTGCGGTTGCCAGAGATCAAGAGCTCAAATCCCCCAAACAGAGCTTTTCTGTTAAACGGATACATATTCTTCCCGGCTTCTAGCTTTAAGCAATCTGGTCATTTGGAATTATTAGTAATTTCTCTGTTATAATATTTGAGAGTAGGATTGTGTTACGCCAGTTTTCATAACGTAGACAGGGCGAGTGTAATATATCTGAAATCTTTTTTTTAAATTTTTTTTTTATGTTTTGTTCCCTTGACTTCCCTGTTTATTTTCAGTAGGGAAATTAGTTTGTCTGTACTGCTAACTCTCAAAATACTCCTAAAGAACCAACATGAAAGATATCATGATAAGGAGGTGGTCAGTGTATTTGCATGACGGCAGCAGGATCATTGTCACGGATCTTCCTCTGAACGCAGGAGAACGGGCAGCTCGCCGAGAGATGCGCCAACGAACACTTCGAGCATCTCTTCGAGACGCTTCAGGAGCGGAGGACGGAGATGCTGCGCTCCATCGAGCAGAGCCGGAGTCTGCGGGTGGAGCGTCTGCGGGCGCAGGTGGAGGAGTACCAGGGCATGCTGGAGAACAGCGGCCTTGTGGGATACGCTCAGGAGGTGCTGAAGGAGACGGATCAGTCCTGCTTCGTCCAGACGGCCAAACTGCTGCACGTCAGGTTCGGCCTCGACTCGTTTAGCCTCGAGACACGTGACTGTAATCCAGAGGCTTTGTCCTCTGGCTTGTGTTTCTAGATTTAAACAAGGCTCGGTTCATTCACTGTAATCCTGATCTCTGTTAGTCCACAAAGCTGCTTTGCCGTTCACTTTCCCACAAACCCTGAGTCACTGCTTTGGATTCGCCACATGGGTTTACAGCTGGTAACAGTAACGCTTTTAGACAATACAGATCGTTTCAAAGCAGCTTCAGAGTAATGAATCGTGTCGTTAATTTAGATGATTTAAAACACTTAAGACGACTTCCCAGAGAACTAGATGAAGTTCATCAAGACAAACTTAACGTTGGCTTGAGAAAGCCTTGCCTGAAAGATTGAAGTAGTTGTAAAAGCTTGAAGTTTTAAACCGTTTTAAAGATTGAAATGATAGAAAGATTAGAAATATTACGTAGGATGGAAGCTTAAATTAGTCTATATGTGAGACCCTGCAGCACAAAAGCAGTGTTAAGTCGCTGGGTATATTTGTAGCAATAGCCAACAATACATTGTATGGGTCAAAATTATACATTTTTCTTTTATGCCAAAAATCATTAGGATATTAAGTAAAGATCATGTTCCATGAAGATATTTTGTAAATTTCCTACCGTAAATATATCAAAACTTAATATTTGATTAGTAATATACATTGCTAAGAACTTAATTTGAACAACTTTAAAGATGATTTTCTCAATATTTAGATTTTTTTGCACCCTCAGATTCCAGATTTTCAAATATTGTCCTATCCTAACAAACCATACATCAATGGAAAGATGATTTATTCAGCTTTCAGATGATGCATAACTCTCAATTTCCAAAAACTGACACTTATGACTGGTTTTGTGCTCCAGGGTCACATATGGCCTAGAAATGATGGATGGATAGAATGAGTCTCGAGGGCTTCAGTGAGTTTAGATTTGAATGCTTATCAGTTGGAGTTTGAAGAGTTTTGACTCATCTGATGTAAGTCTGGGATTTTTTCCCGGGTTTTCATCGTCATTTTTAGGAAAACCCTAAGTCCTTTCTCAAGCCAACGTAATGAATGGAGCTGTTCCTCTGGGATCTGTAATGCACTTCTGATACTGTAGTACGGTTCTGATTTTCTCTCTGATTGTATCTTGTATGCATGTAATTCATAAACTCATTACTGCGGAGCTGTTGGGAAACATCCACTTTATTTCACGTCAGTTGAATGACTGTCGTTTCTGTTAACAGGATTCAGAAAGCCACCGAGTCTCTGAAGACCTTCCAGCCTGCGGCGACGCCGTCGTTTGAGGAGTTTGTGCTGGACACGTCGAAGGAGGAGCTCTTACTGAAGGAGCTGAGCTTCAGCGGCGGTGAGACTCCTGAGCTGTTCACTTACAGGCTTTCTGAAGTCAGCGTAACGTCTCTCGCTGACCTGTCCTGGGGTTAAAGGTGAACGATCGGGGTTTCTTGTGTTCCTCTACATGTGTTCGTCAGTGCTGCTGAGCAAAGGCTCTCAGGGAGCAGATGGAGAATCGGTGTGGCTTTATCCTGCTGTGCACCGTTAGGCTCCTCGTTCCTCCAGCTGGAGGATTTTAACATTGTGAGACACGTTTAGATGCTGACCACAGAAACGCAGGAGGTTATTGATCAGCGCTAATGCTGCTGATGGCTGGAATCTTTATCATTGCAGCTGGAATGCGATTGGCTGAATCGTTGACGAGGCAAAACTCAGCGATGCTTTTCCATCGTCAGCTTTAATTCTGCCGCAGTACAACAGATTCTCTCAGCTTCCACTGCAGGTTTTTCCCCAGCCATATTTCCTGCTGCTGCCGTCTCACGGTCTCTTCCGTCCAGATTAATGCGTCTCCTGTTTGGATCAATAGCTTGTTATTCACAGAGAAGTGTTTCGGGCGTCGTGCCTGGGCTCTTGGCAGACCGGCTGGCCGTGACAGGCCCCATCTCCACGGCGACCAGCGGGCCTCGTCCTCGGGGTCACGTGTGTCTCGCTGTGTTGGAACAGTTTAAGGAACAATGGCAGGACTCTGAGAGACAGCAGATTTATGCTGCATTTCACAGCAGATGCATAAAGATGCGGCACTTGTTAAAGTCACCTTTATTTCAACAGCGCTTTCAGAATGAGTCAAAGCAGATCAAAATAGCAGAATCAGTGATGGAAACTCAACAGCAGCTCTAAAAGACAATAGAGTCATTATTCAGATCAATAGCAGTGTGAAGTTATTCGATCAGCTATAGGAAGTTCAGCTCGAGTCAGTTCAATGTTGATTGAATTATGTGAGCAGTTAGATTTATCTTGGTCCTGTGTCCCTTCAGTTACTGTGTAATCATCAGAAGCCCCGTTGCTTGTTCGTTTCTAAAAAATGTCTTTGTAATTTGTGTGCATTTAGAGCAGGGTTTCCGGCAGGTCCTTAATAAGTCTTACATTTGATTTGTCATATTTATGGCCTTTAGTATGACAAAAGTCTTAATTATCATTTTAAGAGGTCTTACATTTGGGAATGGAAAAACAGAGATGCCGCTCTATGCACAAAGGCTATGACTGATTAAATAAACATGAGTGCTGCACATTTAAAAGTCAAAACATTTCACATTCAACAGGATCATATATTGATGTATGAGAAAATAAACCAATTTCAATAAATATGTAAATATTGAATAAAACAAGTATTGAGTAAACTTGCAGTTATCCTGTTTTGCCGTTAAATGTGACGTAGCCAAGAGTGTGACTGTGATTGTGTTTTGCATGAGGCCAGATGCTCGTGAAGAAGACACTCTGTGCTGACTGAAATTTTCATCCTTTCTGTCTTCAGTTCCTGCGCCTCCAGTGATCGATCTCTCTCGCTGCTGCGTTTATAACGAGGGTCTGATCCACTGGCGGCTGTCTGAAGACTCTCTGCCCACCGATCATCACATTGTGGAGTTCAGGAAGCTGGGGGCTGAGGATGAGGAGGAATCCCGCTGGAGCGCAACTGAGCGTGTTTACGGCTGCAGCACGGTGGTGTCTGATCTGGCCGGCAACGCTCGCTACGCTTTCAGAGTGAAGAGCTGCCGTAACGGTGTGTTCAGCCCCTGCAGCCCTGAGGTGTCCTTCCACACGCCTCCAGCGCCGGGTAAACGCGCGCGCGCGCACACACACACACACACACACACACACACACTCTCGCTCTCTCGCTCTCTCGCTCTCTCTCTCTCTCTCTCTCTCTCTCTCTCTCTCTCTCTCA